CTCTTCTTCAAATTAAACACAAAATTGAATAATATCACAACTAGAGTTAAAGCTCTTCCAACAAATTCAAGCAATCAAACAATAATCAAATCCATAGATTACCATCAAGTCACGAAATCATGTCTAACCCTAATAGAAACTACTCCATAGTCATGGAGGAAGTCATCACAAATAGGTTTAAAGAATAAGAAAACATCAATTCAACGTTACAATCCAAACTCTCGTATTGAATTGATGGAAAGATGATGAAATCTTGTATCTTGAAGCCTCCAATTCTCTCTAATAATTTCCCCAGGTCAAAAGTCCCTTCAAAAACGTGTTTTCGATGTGTTCATACCATGTAGAAGTGGGTCCAAAAGAAACTACCCTTTCCAAGCCGAAGTGGGAAACTACTCTGAGAACTTTGTACAGGCGCGGCGCACCACACTATGTCCCATGCGCCGTGCCTTTGGCTTTTATCGGAGAGCTGCAATTTTACACTCTGCAGGAATTTTGCACTACCACCTTGCACCCTGCGGCGCGCCCAACGATGTGGTAGTGCAATTTTCTCACAGTAAATTTCTCTTCTCATATTTTGATATCCAGAATTGGTTCTCGTACCCCGAACATGATCTCGTCTTAATTCCTTGAGCTTCTACTCAGACTTCAAAGCTCCAAATCATTCATTTTAGCGCCAAACTTGTTTCTCCATTTGAAATCATATCCTACACGGCATAACACATGTAATAAGTAGAAAATACTAGCAATTAGGCTCAAATATAATCAAAGTGTATTAATTAGAGTGATAAATATAGTTAAACATGAGTTACTAACCTACCATCAACACCCCACATTTAAGCCATTGCTCGTCCCCGAACAATCAACCTACACTTCACATAAAGACGACTTTTTATTTAACAACTTCCCTAACCCATCATGGCAAGAATATTTAAAACAGATAAATCACCATACCATAGCATCCTAGCCTCAAGATTCGACTCAAAAGCACCATGTATTCTTTTCTAAAACCTACTCACTTATTCTAACACAGAGGCCAAAGACGTTACCTTTCCTTCACAAGTCATGTTCCCTCACACAAACAATAGAGAGTCGTTCCACACACAATAAAGTTCACGAACAAATAGAAACTCAAGATAGAAAGAATTCACTCACTCTCAGAATTAAGATTGATGTTCCACAGAGGATGTACCATAGGTTTGCCCACAGTGTAATACTCTACTAATTGAGCTCATTCAGTCAAAGATCAAGTAGGACTTTATTTGGTTGTAATGTAAGCTGCGGGACGAGTAAGATACAATTTGGGTATAGTGACTACACCTACCTGAGAAATTTAGTACATAAATTTTCACCTTTTAAAATCTCACACTTATGTTGAACCAATCCCCAACCTTTACATTATAATAACATATGCTCCCAATTGTTTTAAGCACAAATATATCAAGATCTACCACTATAAAGGAATAGTTTTTCACAAAATACATACAAACATTATTTTGTTTTTCTTATCCTCTGATTTTTTTTCCTTCGACCAATTCATTCTCTTTTTTTCTTTTTCAATTCCCTAGAAGTGGCTCGCATTGTTTTTCAATGCAGTGCACATTTCTTCTTTTACAATATTTCCACTCAAAAACCCAACCATATCTTAGCTTAGCTTTTAACAAGCTCATAAATGTCAAGTGCTCAAGAGAGGTAAAAGATTCAAGTAGATAATCAATTCAAACAAAGGTGTCAGCCTTGTATTGTAGTTGCCAAAGAAATAGGATTACAGGCTCAACTAGTCTAACTAAGATACACATTAAGTTGGTGGATAGCAAGCATATTTTGGCTCAACAAAGAAATGCTTATATCACTTCCTAAATTGAACAAAACTACTATTTCGCTTTGAAAATACACAGAAAAAGTTCTAGACATCAACTGACATGCACAGAACATCAACAAAAACCTCACACACACATTGGCACATAACTCACTTAGGATCAGATATATCCCGACTCTCTAGTCAAAACAGTTAAGCAAAGGTTAGATCACAAAATTTAAGGCACTTATACATGAGTCAAGAACTGAGCCTAGGCGTCACAACCAAGGCACTCACTACTCTCAAGGCACAACAAAGTCAAGAAAATTCATCTCCATTTAACACCATAGTACAAGACTTCTCTCTTCCAAATAAAAGAAAAATTAACTACACCTGGTTCAGCAAAAACCTTTGGAAAAGAACAGTGGTACAATGAAAAACTAAGGGGGAATGATTACACTAACTAAGAAGATAAAACTTTTTTTTCTTCGACTTTGATCCCTGTAGAAGACAGTCGAGGAAATCCACCATCGGGAAAAGTCAAAAAATTTAATATTTTTTCCATGTAATACTAGCAAAACACAACCAAAGATAAAAAAGAAAAAAAATGAAAAATAGATATACATATACATATTTACTTTCCCCACCTCACACTTTAAATTATGGAATGTTTCCATGCCACACAAATAAAAAGCAAGAGGTAAACGAAACTCCCCTGAATCATCAAATATGGGTCTGAATCGAAGTCGAGATCCACTTTGCACGCACGACCCAGTGCACACATCCATATTGAAAGTTTCTTTTCTGCCTTCTTCGGGTACTCTCCACACTTGAACTCTGAGTGTGCAGTCGAATCATCTCTAGGTTTCCCTATTGCTTCCTTTATCTTGAACACAACTCTTTCTTCCCTCACTCTTAGCATGAGCTGCCTTTTTTTAATATCTAGAATAGCTCTGCCAGTAGCCAAGAAAGGTCTCAATAAAATCATAGGGACCTCCTTATTCTCATCCATATTCACCACGATGAAGTCCACCTGGAACACAAATTTATCCACCTGAACTAGCACATCTTCCATTATTCCTTCTGGTATGATTGTTGTTTGATCCGCCAACTATAAAGACACAGGTATAGATCTGATTTCACCAATCTCTCCCTCCAATTTCCTGAAAATAGAAAAAGGTATAAGATTAATAAAAGTACATGAATCACACAAAGATTTTTCAAATTTGATACTTCCTAAAGAGCAAGGTATAGTAAAACTCCCTGGATCTCCACACTTTTGAGGGAGCTTAATTTGCAGAGTGGCACTATAATTCTCTGTGAGCTTGACAATCGATGTCTCTTCCACTTTACGCTTGTTTGACAATATTTCCTTCAAGAACTTAGAATATGTTGTGATTTGAGAGAGTACCTTTGTGAAAGGTAGATTAACATGCACCTGCTTGAACACTTCGAGAAAACGCCCAATTGTTTGTCCAGCTTCTCTCTTCTTTGCTTCTTTGGGGAAAGGTAAAGCAGGTATGTATTTGCTTTCCTTGGTCTCCTCATTCATTGAATTCCCATCCTTCTTCTTTTACAGAGCTCTAGTCCTCCCCTTTTTCTTCAAACCATCATTTGCATCTCTCCTCACTTAACCTTCTTTATTGTCTTTCAATGAACTTACTTTTTTATTTTGCTATAGGGTCCTTCAATACTTGTCCACTTCTCAAGGACACCACATTTATTGTTTCTTTTGGATTTCTTTCAGTATCAGCAGGGAGAGTTTCTGGAACCCTCTCAGAAAATAGATTAGCAAGTTGCCCCACCTGTCTTTCCAAGTTTTGAATAGTTGTGTCCTATTCTCGGATAATTGTGCCATGTGTTTCAAGTCTCTTATTTGTCTTAATAATAAAGTCCTTCATCAGATCTTCCATGCTCGACTGACTGTACCATGGAGGTTGGTATTGCTGCCTCTGCTGATTTTGAAATCCTGAAAGGTGTAGACTACATCTTTTGACACTCCATTGTACTGAAAGGTGTTCATGATTTCCTCAATGTCCATCAAGTGAGTGTTAGGACCTTCATTCACCGTCCCTCTAAAGACACTATTGTTTAGGATAGTTTGAAGCAGGCCTGGCTTCAACTCAAAATTATTTGCTGTAACGCGTGGAGGTCTGACACTTGACAATCCCTAATTGTAGACTGGTCTAGCATAGTCACCTAACGCTCTCTCAGGCCTAGGGGCCATATTATCGAACTGGTCGTCAACCAAGGGTCGATTTAGATTGAATCTTTGACCCCCATCCACTTCGACAGTCTCATCAGTAGCTCTAAGGGCTGCTTCAGCTGCTATCCATGCAACTTGTTCTCTCTATTGTGCTTCCTCTCTTGCACCTAAGTGTACCCCATCATCCGCGTTCTTAGCCCTGTGTTCTTGGGTTGAGGATTGCCCCAGAAATTTCTGGTGAGTTCTTTCTCTATCCTCAACTGTCGCATATGCTTTTCCACCTCTAGATCATATGGAATCACTTCTTTTGAAGAAGATCGATTCATACACCAAAGAAATTAACATTTTGTATGCACGCGGAAGATAAAAATTATGGAGAATAAAATAAAATTGGTTCCTGAATTAGCACCAAAAACTACTTCTAAACACTATTGATTTTCAATCTCCCGCAACGGCGCACAAATTTGACGAGCGCAAAACACAACACGAAATTATTGCTCGCTAGCCAAAGATAGTATAGTAAAATTATCGTCTCCATAGGGATTGGATTTAAATAATGTTCAAGTAATTTCTGGATTAATTGTTATTCAGGATGATTATCACTTTGGTCAGGATGATTATGAATAAAAACTAACTATTAAAACTAAAGCAATTACAATTGATCGCGAAGAACTAGAGATTAGCATAATTGATTTATTATTAGCATGAGAAAATCAGGGTCATGACATGATAAGCTCAAGATTGTTATCCTGGAATTGACACTATTTAATTTCACTATTAATGTTCTATTTTTTTTTTTTGAGGAAATAAGTAGCAGGTAATATAGAAGTGGTGGTTTCCCGTCGTAAATCCGCAAAATCTCAGACGAAATTCTCTCAAAACTGACTTAAATATTGGATGGCAATAAACAGGACAGACTTCTGTTATAGCATCTCTCAAAGCTAAAGAAAATATAAGATCCAAAAGTCTTATATATCAATTGCACTAATCAGAGAGTTCTTAAGAAGCAGTCTTCTTAAGCGTTGCAAGCTCATGTCTCACAACTCCGGCCCTCTTAATCTTTGCTAACATAAGCTTGAACCTGTCAAAATCATTAAGTGCAGCGCTCCTCTTCTGCATTATCAACTTCCTTCCCCAAGAACTGTTCTCCCACTTGGTCTTCACATCAGCAGCTTCCATAGCCTCAACCAAGGTCTTCTTCTTTGGGATTCTTTTGATGTCAATTTTGATATCTGTGAGTGAAAGTCTCTTGAAGTTAATTTTGCTCCTCCCCATGTCGGGAGCATCAACAAGAGCCCTGTTTTGGGAGATGACGTCGATGATAATGACCAACTTGCCATATTCCTTTCCGTAGTTGATTAAGGCTACCCTTCCAATCTCCAAGAACCTCTTGAACGGCATTTTCGGCGATCTGAAGGAGTAGACACGCTATTAATCAAGTCACACCCAACTCCACCTGGGCACATACCTCGCAATTCTAAATCCGATAAGCTCAACTCGAATATGACTGAATATGGAAAGAGAAACACATGAGATAATTATCAAACAAGTCTAGTATGTACAACTACCAATCGGTATCATACTACAAATCAATTCCACTAGGGAGGAACAAAACATATGAACTAATCATAAGGATCCCATCCTAATATGACTCCACTACGGCACGTTGCTCGATCCAAACATATCAATCCACACGGAAATATGAGGATCACATCCTCAACTCTGAGTCACAAGTAGAATACACATCATTCCAACCTAAACCCTCCACTAACTCAATTCCGACAACAAAATCACAACACGTAACGGACTTCCCATACTGGCAGAGCACCTAAATCACCAATCATAACCAAACCATCCAGAAATCAGATCAAAACCTACCGTAATAAGTAACACAAAGTTCATTCTAGTCTCATAGCTCTTAATAGTGAACAAACCAAAACGATAGACATGGGCTACTACTATAGAATCTCTTAACAGAGGTAAACACATAAGCAGGGTACATGAATCATAAAACTCACCCATATATGAAGCAGCTGGGAGGACTCACACCGATAAATAATACCGGATCAAAATAAGACTGATGCTCCTCTATGACAAACTAAAACCATACATGTAATGGCCTCATCTGGTGTAGCAGCCTCAACCCTACTATGGAAAGCATATCAACGGGTCAGGCCTCCCCCTCTAGGATGCCCTCTACCCACCCGCCGTCTACCTCTAACCGGATGTGCAAGTGAAGTAGCAACTGGAAAGGAGCCCATAGCCTGAGTGCCCTGATGAAATCTGGGCATCCCTCATGATATGCCTAGTATCGCCACACTCATAATAACCCCTCATTGGGCATGGCTACTGGTACTGAGTCTCTGTTGGATGATTGGGATAACCGATATAGGAACCCTGTACAGGTGGTGCATTGAAAGATGGCTATCCCATATGATTACCCTGAGGTCCCTGACTAGCTGGAGTACCACGAGTAGTCTGAAGTGCGGACTAGACTGGCCGACTTTCTGAGCCTCCGCTATGATGGGTCATAGCTGAAGAGTAGAATTCACTAAATTCTCCAGAATATGCTTATCCTCAATCTCCTCACCCTGAATATGCTCCAACCTCCTGGCAATCTCTATAACTTATTGAAATGGAGTATCAGTCTCTAAATCCTAAGCCATGCTGAATCTAAGACCATAGCTGAACCCTTTGATAAATCTGCGGAGTCGCTCTCTGACTGTAGGAACCAAGGTAGGTGCATGTCGGGACAACTCGCTGAACCTGATGGCGTACTCGAACACTGTTATAGTAACCTGGCATAACTGCTCGAACTCTGTGCGCCACACATCCCTGAAGGTCTGGGGAACAAACTCCGAAAACATCTCTAAAAACTGAGTCTGAGTGAGTAGTGCTGCATCCGCTGGACTACCCTCCTCATAAGCCCGCAACCACTGACACACTACACCCGACAACTAAAATATAGTGAAAAAACCTCCGCTCACCTCCATAATACCCATGGTGCAGAGAATATGGTGACACTTCTCTAGAAAACCCTACGCATCCTCGGTAGTTGTGCCAATGAAAGTAGGTGGATCATACTTCTTGAACGTCTCAAGCCTCTTATGCTCCTCCATTGATTTCCCCGGATTGAACTCAGGCTAAACTTGAATAACTATCTGTACCGGCATAACACCTGAATCCTGACGAATGTGAGCCCATTGCTCTTGAGTACGGGCGGCGGGAGTCTAAGCTCCTTCCCCAATCAGTGAAGTAGCTGGTGCAACTAGAATTAATCCCTCCTAAGCCAATGTACCAAATATGCTTAAGAACTGTGCTACAGTCTATTGAAGTCAAGGGATAGCAACAGGTGCATCTGGTGCCAGTCCCCCAACTGGAGCTACTGGTGGCTCCTTCGCTGCTGCTCTGGCAGGATCTCTAGCTGCGGTACGTTCCCCTCCTCTGTCTCTACCTCGGCCTCGGCCTCTCGCGGCTCTAGCAGGGGGAACGAGTGTATGCTAAGCTAATTCGGTAGTGCGTGTCCTCACCATTTGTGAGAGAATAGAAATATGAAGGCTCAAACCCCAAAAGAAATGAATCCGCATGATAAGAATGAAAGAAGTTGAATTTTTCTAATAGTTCTTTAGCCTCTCGAAGATAAGTACAGACGTCTCTGTACCGATCTGCAAGACTCTACTAAACTTGCTCGTGACTCGTAAAACCTATGAAACTAGAGCTCTGATTCCAACTTGTCACTACCCAAAATTCCAACGTAGGCGTCGTGATGGCACCTAGTCTCTAAGACTAGGTAAGCCAGTTACTTACCACAATTAAACCAATTAAGCATGATGTTTTTAAAATGATGAATGAATGCCTTTTTGAGTAAATATATCATTACCGAATCAAGTATTTCTCAATCTCATATTTTCAATTACTTAATATTCTCATCAATCATTGAACTCTCTTATGAAAATAAAACGGTGAGTTAAAAGTACAGTGGTGCATGGGATTGAGGAGGATGGAAGGAGAGGTGGTGGCGGGTGGATTTGGTGAAGATGAAGAAAGAGAAAAGTAAAAAAAAAAATGAAGAAGATAAAAATGAAAAAGAATAAGAAAAAAATAATCTTTTAATGTTAAATGTAATTAGTTATAAAAATTTCCAATTGGAGACTAACACGTGTGAGTTTTTGTCTGCCTTAAGCACTTTCTTTTGCCTGTCACACGCTTATGAGAAATAACTCAAGATTTGCTTGCGTTGTCTGATATCGGATCATTAAACAAATTAATAATATGCTGAAATTTGTTTTATTCAAAGTAGGTGAGAGTTGCCAAAAAAACTAACTTGTATCGAGTGTCTAATGAAGGTAAGACATTTGCCTTTCATATATATGTTTAACTAATAAATTTGTCCGCCCTTTGCGCGGTAAAGAAAAATATAACAAATTACTTTTTTTTGTAAAACAAATTGATATCAAGATAAATTTTGCATATATATATATATAGAGAGAGAGTGCGTGTGTGTTAATTTCTCAAATAGTCATTCAACTTGGTGATTTTACCTAGCATAATTACTTTTCTTTGTTTGAGGACAAAAAAGTCACTAACTATTATTTGCTTCTCCAAAGTCATACACCACAATAAACTGTTAGATAATTTTTTTAAGATATATATAATTATATAGGACTTTAAAATACAATAATTAATCAATATATTAGGACTCATTAGATGCTCCAGTTCATTTATTTTTCAAATTTATCATATAATCGAATTATTTGTCAAGTTAACAAAACCCTTGAGGTACATAAATTGTTTTTTCGTAAGAGGATTAGCGGTGAAAGAAATTAAAATTAATATTAAATCGTAAAAATAAAATAGTAGAAGAAAAAATATATTAAACTCGGTATATTTTTTAATATTAAGCTATTTATTGTAAATTATTTATTCTTTAAAATTTACATGGCCACTATCAGTTTTGTACCACAAATTCTCAAAGACCAAAAGAAATAATTTTTAATTTATTTTATTTGATAAATCTTTATTGAATTATGATACAAGTATTTTTGCATTTTGTTTTCAATATTAGGTAACAAAAAACATATTATAAGATATTCCGACATAAGTATTCATAAATCATAATAGGCATCTGAAAACTTTCATGGATAGATTTTTTTTTTATTTATCGAGTTAGCTAAATGGAAATAACATTATCATTTTTTGAATTTATATTTTAATTTTATATAACTCAAAAAATTATCTAATAATTTTTATGCAATTTTTTTAATATTATGTATTTATTAATATAAGTAAAATTCTCTTTTTCTATTAAAAATGACTTTTACGGTGGTGTATGACTATCGGAGAAATAAATAAATAGCTTAGTAACTTTTTGTGATAAAACAAAGAAAGGTTTTGGTAGGTATATTCATCAACTTGAGTGACCATTTAGGGAACTAACTCCATTTACATGCATACAAAATCAACAACAGCAATTCGGTGAAATTTCACAAGTGGAGTTTGGAGAGTGCTGGAGTAAATGAAAAAAGTATTAAATTTTGTGATTAATCATTTTATAAAACTGATTTTGTATGCATGAACAAATACCTTTCATATTATAAGATGTGTGACTTAAAGTTGGACAATACATTTAATATGACACACTACCTATCAAAATTTTAGTCTTAAAATTAATCATCAAATGTTTAATTTCTTAAAAACACTTAGTATCTGTAATTTATTCCAAAAGATTATTTCAAATAACCTTTAGCTTTTCTTAGTACTATTATAAAATTCTAAGAAAAAGCATTATACTAAATTCTTCAAAATCTACAGAATTATACAAAATTTAGTTTTGTAACTGTAGATTAAAAATGTTAATTAAAAGAAAAAAAAGGAAAAAAAAATATTAATTCAGATAAACAATTATAACATGCATTTCTGGTTTTTAGAACATAGTGATAAAAGTTTTTCGCATGAAGCTATCTATCAAGCATACCTTCCCGCAACACATTAATTAATATGTTGTAAATTTTCTTGGCAAAAGTTAGCAGAAAATAAATACATCATACTCACCATCAGTTAGTTTTGCAGCCTGGAAGATCAATTAGTATCAAATTCACCACCAAAATTCAAAATAAGACGATGATGCTGTCTATGTTTATTACACCATAGTTTTTAAACAATTAGGCAATGAAAGGAGAAGAGGGAGGTAATTACTGCTAACAAATACTGCAACTTAGGCACAACTAAATTAGGCATGTAATCTTAATAACAAAAAACAATTTAATGGCCAAAAATACCCAAAAAATAAAAAGATGGCAGCAAGGACAAATACATTAATTTCATATCCATGAGATAAATGTATAAACTTTTGATGAACCTTCTCTGTACTTGCTTTGTAATTCATCAAGTATTGATCCAACCAATGAAAATCTCCATTGT